ATTCGCGTGGGAACACCGAAATGAAACCCCCGGGACAGCTGGCAAAACATATCGCCAACGCGTTCTTCGTTACTGGATAACTATGAACACTGAAAAAATCAAGTGACTTGGAGTACATCGTTAGATTATCTCGGAAAGAAGGTGGGGTGGGGGGGGGGGGAGTGCAGAAAACTTCCTCTCAAATGAAGCTCTCTCAGCTTGATCAGAGTAATGAAAAAGTATTCCAGGGTTGACGAAATTGCTTGGCCTTCGAATTCCGGACCTTCCCAATTTATATGGAGAGGATTTTTGAGCCTAGCCAGCTTGGGAATGGGGTGTGCAGTGACAATAAACCTAAATAGTTTTATATTCAATTAATTTATCCACGCTCAGCGTGCGCTATACTATTTTCACATTCTGAGCATCAAAAAATTTAAGGAACACAGAACTTTAACAAGTGAACCAGCTGGGCCACCGCTCGAGATACAAATATAATAAGGATATTCTTCAGACAAATTCATCAAAGCGAAACTGTCAACAAATGGCAAATTAGGAGGACTCTGGGTAGGTCAGTGTAAGTTGTACTCAAACAAGAAATGTATTCAGTGTTATCGTTACGTCATACTGAGAGTGTCGATTGGGCAGATAGAGGGAGAGGGGGGGGGGGGGGGGGGGGGGGGGGGGGGGGGGGGGGGGGGGGGGGGGGGGGGGGGGGGGGGGGGGGGGGGGGGTACGCCACTCCTTAGACGGGCACGAAGCATAAGCATGAATCGCGAAAACTGAATTCTTTTATATCTTATGTATTCCCTTTATGCCCCTAGCATTCAGTTTCATGATCTGCCACAGATCAAAATCCAAAACCTTGAGAATAATTTGTTGGGCGACTACGAGTATTTAGGGTACCTTCAGATGAGGTATGATCTGGAGATCTCCTTAGTCGACGCTTGGAACTGATTCATCGACAAATTAAGGAATCCACAAGGAATAAAACACTATCAAAGTTAAAAAAAACACAAGAAACGAAAATAGTGCTGTGGCATATTGTCTATGTGTGCCATGACAACTTTATATCTATTTGCTCCTTTTGACAAAGTTACAATTTTGAGAGCCATGGAAAGTTATCACAAGGAAGCCGCAGTTATGTGTCATACAAGGCGGTAAGAAAAGGTAGTGTCCATCCCTTGAAGAGTAATTGTTGCCGTCCTTTTTCGATAGGATGGATTATAAATTCGAATTCTCAGTGGTTATTGAAGACATTGCCCTCATCCCACCTAAGACTTGATCAGCATTTAAGGATAAAAGATAAGCATCTGCCGTTGGATCAATCCCTTTTTTGGGATGCGGCACGCATTCTACTTGTCATTTGTACATCGCAGTGGCTTGAGATGCGATGTGGCCATACAATGACTTGCGGGCCAGCCGGATGTACAAGTCAGTGTTTTTATCCTCCCAGACAATCTCCGTACCATATTTACACCGACCCCGGAGAGATGGAAGCGTTGGTTGGTGCCCGGCCCACTCACGACCAGGATTGATCCCGCGACCACTCGCGTGTAAGCGTGCCACTTGCGCACTACACCAAACGGTTGCCCTGCCCGATGAACAGGCGTTATTTAAGGGTTTTGTTAGCAAATTATGTGCTCTACGATGTTTGCTGCAAAACTGATAGCTTTAGAAAAAATGATCGGATAAGTCAAGCAGCATTATCCCAATTTGACGAACGACACACATGGCATGTTCTCCAATTCATGTTAAAAGAATTAGCCTGGCAAACCTCCTTTACGGTCAGGTTGCTAAACCTGTGCTCTAGCACAAATATTTAGGTACACTGGATGAGAGTTTTGTAACCGATGGGAGAATCCGATTGACAGAAGACACAATAGGAGTAGAGAAGATCGAAAAACTGTTATTGGAAATCATTGAACAATTGCAAATCCACACAGCGTATCACGTGATGAAAAAGATAACACGCGATAGTCAAATACTAAAAACTACGCGTCATATGAACATTGAATTTCACAGGGAGCTTGTTAGAATCCCTTTCAATGGAAGGTAAGCCATTATAGAGCGAAAGAGAGCATAGAAGTCTGAGAGCCCGAAGTAGACGATCCGTCGTCAGCGAATTTTAAAAAGATTGTCACGTAAGATCATTGTACACAACCGAAAGACCTCTCGTGGTAGGGTAGTTCAAAAGAGCGGTCACGAAAAATAGATAGGGGAGTCGAATATTGAAGTGGTTCTTGGTATGTGGCCAACGTTTTACTTACTTAGGATTGCCACTTACGCTTGTGGTTTTTGCTTATATGCTGAGCTGAAAGGCAAGGGCCAGGCCTCGGTTAGGATGCTATGAATAGTAATCTCATAGACCTAATTAGAAATAGTTCCTTAGTTATTACTTGAGTTACTTAGTTTCTCAAGGAATCTTCACGACATGCGACAGTGGGCGGGCCCGAGAAGTTGGTTTGACGAAATGCATGTAGGTACGGATCACGTGCCATGGAAAGGTATTGAAGTGAATCCTGGTTCACAATTCGTGCGGTTCGGACACGGTGGATCCGTAACACCATGCATTCAGTCACAAAAACGTCCCGCCCACTGGTTCCATGATCCGTGGAAGATTCCTTTTAAGTTAGACTACTAAGGTCGTGAGGTTGCCTTGTTTCTTCCGCCTATTGGGATTGCAGTTTCGGTGCTGACTTATGAATTGAAGGTGAGTTCAATGGCCGACAGAATAGATAGCAAAAGCAACCGCTGCCAACGCCGCTGAAATGGGAACTCTCCTGCTGCTGGTCGACTTGTCGATTAGAAGAAATCTCTATTTGGAATGAAATGCGCTTTCGAAACCAAAGGAAACAATAATGACAGCAGTAATGACAACCATCAAAACTCTGCTATGCTAGATTAATTTGGGCGGAGCTAGTTTTAGGTTTGGAGCCTAATTGTTGTGGTGTCATTAACGTGGCTGTGTCTTCGGGAAACCGCCACACGTTTCCTTTGCTACCAGGCTTCCGTCCACTGCGCGCATATATAACACTTCCCTCATGAGCGCACAAGTACACTCTATTTCGGAAAACAAGAAGAGTGTCGAGTGCAGGCCATACACCACAATTTACCACGGCCAAGTGGAAGAAAAAGAAAAAGCCACTTTTTTCTTGGCCATCGTCACTTGCGGTGAGTGGTCCGCAATGGACGCTGTTCTCATTTTTTGAGAGGTTCTTTCAATGTACTCAAAGAAGAGAGAACGTCTCTATTGGAAAAGCGGGTATCTCACTTAATAATTGAGAAATATGGAGAGGCTGCAGCACTGAAAGGGGCATTACGATGTTGTGTACTTAAGGCATTGAAACCACGGCGAGAATTATGAACGTTTAGAATAGTAATGTACACAAAGTGAGCCAGGGAAAAAGTATTTTGAGGGAGACAAACTCTGGGGTGGGTAAATCAATCATACACTCCGGAGAAATTCCTCCCTCCTCCAAGACCGCACGCCCCTACATAGCTCTCACCCCTCTTTCACATAACAAACACAAAGACAAGAAGATCGTAACACATAAGTAATTCGAAGAAATGGCCTTGACAAGAAAAATAAGTGGTAACTTTGAACACTACTGTGTAAAATTGGTATAACCGTAACCCAAACGATTTATTATGATAAAATATGTTACTCTCCCTCTCCCATCCCCACTCCCGCCCTCTCCCAGGGGCCTGAGGATAAGAGCGTCAGGTGCCATCTACAATATCGAAAGAAGTGCGGACGCAGAAACACAGTAAACAGAAGTTCTGCGACGCAGTTTTTTAATTTTCCAATGGAACGACAAACCAAAAAAGTTTCTACTCTCAAAAAAAATGAAAAAGAATAAAAATACGAAAACACACGAAAATTGTTCCATGAATAAGTGACCTGCCCAAGCATTGAGTGCAGTGCCAGCGCAGGCCGTTTGTTGACTGACCCCACGACAAGCAGCAGATGTCCAGAACAATTGATTGGCGCCAGATCGTTGGTGAACGGCAGTCTTCGCAATCAAACAAGCCATTTGTAAGAGCTCGGAAACGTCATTGTAATTGTCATCATACTCAGTTCATTGTAATGGTCACTTTTTGTGCAAGGGCAAGTGATCCGAACGGTTTTTTGCCTGTAACGCCCTTTCCACCGTGAAAAATTGCCACTCAAGACATGCAAAGCGTGCAGGCTGAGTTATCTACCAGCCACCTACGGACGAAATTTCGCTATTTCTGAGGCTACACCTTCACCATCGAGTGATGAGCGAACATTGGGAATTCCCCCTTCCTAGGCCTAGCCCTAGCGGCGAAATTCCAAACATAGAGATGTACCGGGCGTCAGATTATTTCTATACTCACTGCTAAGGTAGAAAAAACTCCTGTGATCTCAAGTTGAAAGATGATGGTTTATAGGCAGTCGCATTTATAATCAAACACATTGTCAATTGAAGACTTTTCAAAACGTCCTGAATTGTGAAATGTTGGGAAATTCTTAGGTGAGTTATAATTATGAGACAGTGTATTAACACGTTGGAACCGCACATATTTCACGTTTTTGTAGTCGCTTGCCACTTCAGTGAAATTTCGAGGAACTTATCAAGCATTGTTTCTCAAATGTGAGCCGAAGTCCTAAGCGGTTGACGGACTGCAGCCCAAATATGGGCTGCAGGGGCGCCAAGGTGTTGAAGAACTTTACTGCCTTCGCTGTGGAGGCACTAAAATGAGTTGAAGCGGAGTTGGTCGTCCGGAAATTTGCTCCTGCGAAACTAGCGATTAGAGAACCGCGCTGCGTCAAGTCATATTTCCACATACTTTTCACACATTCAGCGCGGTCATCAACATCAGATCACTTACCTCCTTCTTCTGCCACTTATCCTCTTTACATTCCGTAGTCAGATAGACATAGATATATTGTAATGAATAAAAGTACAGTGTCATGGTTATTTATAAATTACTGCATGCCTCCTGTTACAGGGGCAGTTGTCTAGTATATGATAAAAATACTCACCTCCACACGAGTACCATAAAACGGTCAACCACACAACCCAGTCAAATCCATACAGTAAACCGTTATTCCATGACCACTTTTCCACCTGAAATCAGGAACACATTCAGTTGTTTTCGCAAACTTCATTTCTATGGCGACGCCAACTGTCCAACCATCCAACAATTGTTTCAGACGGTTGCCACACCATCAAGTGTGGAGAAATACGACATTATCAGGGAATCTCTCCGCCTAGACGACCGACAACGCGATGTACTTTGTGAGGTTCTCAGTAACTTATTTTGTTCATTCTCACTGTTAGACCAAATACACAGTGCGAAGAAATTACTCAAAGACCCAAGTGTTCCGAGCAATTCATCGATAATGAGATCGGCAGTGCAACAAAAGCGCAACTGCAGATATTGAAAAGAGCAGTTGATTCAACATAGTGTTCGTGGGGCGTCAATGAGAGATGACCCATGGCAAAAATCGGTCGACGATTGATCGACGACACGCTCGAGGAATTTTGACCATTCAGTCATACTCTCCGCGTAGATATTCACTTGCACGCGCGAGCCGTTTGTGTCCGCCGCGTACATTCACCCTTAACACTATTCCCACCAGCAGAGTATTCACCCACGTTGGAACGGTATCCACAGCAAATGCATGGCGTTCGATTCAAAGTGGAGAAGTGACGATAAAATGGCAGCTACTTACGTTCAGATGCCATTGGCCTAACGATTAGCTCGCCCCGTGGAGCTTTCGGTACCAATTGTTCAACTCTCCGCGCGTCTTTGAATACTTACGAGAAATATTTTTTTTAATCAGAACTTCCAGCATTAACCTTATCATTTTGAGCCCTCACACTATTATGGGTGATCCCTGCTCTTCCTCAGCTGATATTCACCACAACTAAAAATGTTCCCACGCTGAGACTAACGACTATCGAGAAGCACGTAGTACGATTCCGTCTCAACACTCCCACTGAAATAGACCTGCAGGGAAGTCACATGTAAACAGAAAGGGGTGTACGGAGGGCAGGAGGTCATGGAACCGACGAAACAGTATAACGCTTTCTTCGCTGATTGAGGAGCATACAATGGTGCCGAATTTGAAGGATGTGCAACATCTCGAAACGATTTTCACATGAACGTAGTCAGTCATGAAGTATGAAGTTTTCGGCATTGACCAACCCCTTTGGAGGCGCGCCACGTATTCTACTACCATTTGCAATAGTAATGGCATTTGAACGCTTTGTGACATACACAGTAGCTTGCGGGGCCAGACAGTGGTGTCAGTGATTCTATGCCTTCGAGAAAGTCCAGCACTATTTGACCGATACCGGAGAGCGGAAGGCTTGCTTAGTCTGGACGAGATTCGACACAAGATTTGACCCCGAACCCTACCTTGGGAAGTAACGCCACTTACTGCACCACCTACCGCTCTTGCTACAAAAACAGGCAACCCAGAAATCGAAAATGAAGGAAATTATAGCCGGAAGGATACACATGGGTGGCCAAAAAAAGACACTTAGCCCATAGCGCACATCATCGAACTTTTCGTCGCAAAGGGAGCCTTCGTTAATGAAAGTTTTACGGCGGAATATTCATTAGGTGTTCTCCCGCAAACAGAAGCAGGCCCTCCTTCACTGCCTACGGCGTCTTCAGAATATGACGTCATATGCCGTCACCGTCAAGCTCAACGAGGCTTACCGTAATCGCTCCGACCTGAAGCTGCTGCATAATTTCTTCAATGGATCAAATGTTGAACAGCTTCCCAGAGACATTAGCTGTGAATACGCAAAACCGCTTTTGACCAGCGTTTGAGACGTCGTAATCGTCTGAGGTATCTCAACGACCTCGTTAAGCTCGCACCGTGCACAATGCTTCCGTGGGAAAATCTTCTGATGTCGTCGGTGTAGAAGACTGTTGTGTAGCTTGTTAATAGATTATAACGTGCTCTTTATTATTCAGTTGGGATCATTTGATTTGGTCTCGCAACGCGTAAATAATCCCGTAATGTGGTATTTAGTGTTCCTCTTTTTTGGCCACCCTGTACAGCGAAATCAAGAGAAGAAATAACTCCACCTCCCCCTGAAATGAAACAATGAAAACCAACAGATCGCTCTGAGGGCTTACTAGGAAGGTCTTTAAGAGGGTGCAAGCTTTTTGAAAACGGTCTTTTGCATGATATATGAGTGCATGCGGGAACCACAGAACCATGTTTGATTATTTCCAAACGGCCTTCTGAATATCAAAAAGGGGGTCCTTGGTTCAGTTCCTTGTGGTGGCAAATGTTTGCATTTCGACTTGACGTTTCAAAATTTGCGTAAAATGCTGTTAGCATGAATAGTGGATGTCGTATTCATGTTTAGGACCGTTAGTAACCCTTACAAGTAGGCTTTGATTGAAAAATGGTGAAAAAGTTGTCACATCGAAACGGCCCCACTTTAGCGTCACAATTTTTTCACCAGTTCAACCAAAGTCTATTTTCAAGGGTTACTTACGGTCCTAATCATCCGTTATTCATTAACACTATTTTACGCAAATTTCGAAACGTCAAGTCAAAATGCAAAGATTTGCCACCACGAGGAATCGAAACAGAGACCGCTTTTTGGTATTCAAAGACCGTTTGGGAAAAATTGAACATGGTTCTGTGCTTTCCGCATGTGCCCCTATATCATGCAAAAAACCGTTTCAAAAAAGCTTGGCACCCCCTGAAAGACTTTTCTGGTTAAAGCGAAACCTAGCAATTATTGTAGGGTTCGGCAGGGAACAAAACAAGTGAGCCCTCAACGTACCTGCCACATGACACCAGCAAAAGACGACGGGATGGCAAACACGCACATCTGTACATTACGCATCCATAAAGACACTGGTGCTGAACCTTTCAGAATCTTTTCGAAATATATTCCAGCGAATCCAGAAAGGCAGCAAGCGATGACCACCGCGAAAAACCCTGAAACATCAATATGAAACGATTATCGATCGATCCTGTAATATAAAGAAAACACGCTGTTTTCTACGCTGTTTTTTTTCTTCTAATATACACCATGCATTTGAAGGAATTCTCTTCGGAAAAATCACGACTCCATATCACTCTTAGATCACTGGCTTGATACCCATCATTCACGATGGAAAACGAAAAAAAAACAAAAATGTGTTTGTTTTGGTGAATCGAAAAACCAGAAGGACTGTTCACGTTCCAATTCCCTCGTACATCTGTCACAAATTTCACAGCGATTATGGCCGAAAAAATCTTATTCGATTGGAAGCATGTTCGGTTTCTCGTGCTCTATAACCTCAGGAAGCTTATCAGCGCAAGCGCTACGGCAAGAAACTTTGGTACGGTCCTTAACCGGGNAAACACTTATTATCCAGTTCCAGAAATTTGAGAGGAAACCACAAGTCTGACTGAGCTATTCAACTGAATAGAGTTGACTGAGCTATTTCAACGAATAGTGACGGTCTTCTGAAGCTGTCCGTCAAGTCGCCAGTGCAATGCGCACGAAATGACAGAGCTTTCTCAACGTTATCAGAGCACTTCTGCTTTCGCTCTCTTTCGAAAACAAGTGAAATTGATTGGCGGGAGGATAATTCGTGATTCAAGTAGAACATTTCACAATCTGAGTCCAAATTGACCGAAAATGGAAAAAGAAGCTGAGAAACCGGCGATGAAGCCCTTAACAAGCCCCCGCTTTCAACTCGAAATAAAGAAGGGCGTGCCGGACGACTCTCTGGCCTCGCTTGTTGCATGAGCCCACGCACCCACGCGTATTTATATTACTTTTCAGGTCATAATTCACTTTAGTGTGGGATGTGCGCGAGATATCTTGTCCATTAGCTCACGTTAGCGGCGACTGCTCACTTGGAAGAAAACAAGCACCATCGTCACCGACAACGGCGGCAAAATTTTATATTCGCACGGTGCTCTATCCTACTCACAGAAAAGATTATTCGACACAACCACATGTGGATTGCTGCCTTAAACTATCTCCAGGATAATCCTTCTTGGCGTTTAAAGGTTCCTAATAGTAGTGATAAAGAAGTGAGCCTAGAATAGTTCCTAAAAAAGTCACAGCCACGGAAGGTAGCGCGCAACTGGGACCATGATTGTTTGGAGGATAATGTGGGCGTATTTCGCAAAACATGTTTCATACCTTTAATTTTTTTTCCTGTGATTTTTTCAGAAATAAATGTAAGGTAACTCACTAATTATGGAACAACTATTAGATATTGATACAACTTCGTATACGCTCACCAACTAATGGTTTCTGTTCATCCAAACCGGCCGAACTCCAGACGACGCGCACTTGCACCAAAGAAACTCCAACAAACAGTAAAAAAGAGCAAACCTAAAACAGAACGATGCTCACATGTATCGCAACTAAAACATTGATGCAAGAATGGTGTCGAATATAAAACAGTCCACATCTCGCGCGTGTGACTAGGGGGCGTATGTATCCTCCCCGAAAAGGTTGAAGGACGAAAAGTCCTTTAAATTTCCCTGCCTTCCCATCTGGATTGCCCTGTTTGATGCCTACACTTAATGTATGTATGTAGGTAAAAGTAAAAGTGATGCTCGCATGTGATGACAAACATTCGCTCGAGCAACAGGTACAAACCTTGTCCGACCGTCTGGCATGTTTGGGCTCAGTGAATGTGAGAAGACAGAATACTTGACCACCGATTTGAGCGAGTCAGGCACAATTAAGATCAGTGGCACTGATCACACGTACAACATCGTTCAAGTATCTTGGGCGGCAATTGCGTCCGACGGCAGCCTGATATCTGAAGTAAATCCCGGGTGAGTGCAGCTTGGTCCAAGTGGCGCTCGATGACCGGCGTTCTCTGCGATAAGAAAATACCAGAGCGACTGAAATCTAAGATCTACAGAACCGTCGTCCGACCAGTCGCCTTACGGAGCAGAGTGCTGGCCCGTGACTAAAGAGGTGAGGCCTCATCTCAGTGTAATGGAGACAAAAATGCTGCGCTGGACTGCGGGGTACCCGTTTAGACCGCATTCGCAACGATACCATCAGAAAGCGGTTCGCTGTGTCCCATCGCTGATAAGATGCGCGAAGCTCACCTGAGGTGGTACGATCACGCCCTTCGCGCTAATGATGAGAGTGTCCGTAAGATCGTCCAGACTTTAACGTGCCAGGAAAGCGGCCAAGAGGACGCCCGAAGCAGCGATGGCTTGATACGTTGCATGAAGATTTGAAATTAGTTGGCCTTCACCCCATCAGGCACATAATCGGGAAAAGTGGCGTCGTAACACCAGGAAAGCAGGACCCCGCCACAGGTGGGACAAACGCTAAGGAATAAGAAGAAGAAGATGCAGGTGAAAGTAAACATGCACTGAAAATGAAGAAACTATAGCGTTCAAAACAAGGAAATTTAAAGGTACTTTGGATCACTTAGCTTCGGGAAGCATAGCATACGGCCTAGGAGGGTCTAGGATTTGACGTGGTGGCGGCGCGCACTTGATAGAATGTGTGAATAAGACGTTTCCAGTAACATTTCCTGCCAGCGAAGTGCGTTGGAAACGGCTTATCCATGTGCCTTCTATCAAGTGCGGCAGCCGCCAGGTCAATTCCGTAACCCACCTAATCAGACAGTGATGTGATATGGACTGTTGTTCTCCCTACTCACCATTGCGCTCCTGTTAGCGATCTCTTGAGAATGATGACCGAAGATTGCAGCCGTGAATATTTCAGCTGAGATGTTATCTGCCAACAAAGAACAAATTTTTTCCTAATTTTAGTCCGCGAAGTCAGTAATGCCTCAAAAAACAAATATGCTGCAAATTAAAATAAATCTATAAAAAAACTACCAGTAAATAAGTTAGTAAGTCATATTACACGAAATTCTAGAGCTAGGCTTACAAGACAAAGAAAAACAGCAAAGGCAACAGGAAAAAAGTTACGAAGTGAACAAAAGCCCTGGAGATCTTCTCCCATTTCGAAAAGGAAAAATAAAATTTAATGGAAGTCTATCGATGGCAAAGGACACCTCCAACAGTATTTCGCCCATGTGTTTCAGCCTTCACCACTAGCGTTCTACAACATCCAAAGAATCATTCACTGTCACTCTCAGGCGCCTATCCCTTTTCGTTACTAAATGTTAGTTACAAAACGGTTTATGGCGTTGAGTGCCATTTCGTCACTGAGGCTTAGGCTTTGGGTGCAGAGTCCGCAATCCTTCCCCCGATTCATGGAATCGCGACGGAAAATCAGGGTGCCCCGACCAATGCGCGAGGTGCTCTCCAATCCCGCCGCTATTTCTGCTCGATGGTGATGGTTGAATGGCGGCTGTACATAATTTTACTTGTTTCATATTCAGTGTTCCAAATATTCGAATGGGCAACTGCAATTGCGATTCACGGGAATCGCGCGACGGATCGCGGATTGAGCACCAGCCTTACAGTGGTACACATACATGTATAAGGTCATCTTTCAGTAACACAGGCTCATCCTGAATTGGGTTTAGAAACAAGTGATATCTACAAATATTCCGCCTACCTCTAACAGAATCAATAACAGATTTGTCTCAAAAAAACATGAAAACACTTCTTGAATATTCGATGAATGGAAGGCAAAACTACCATGAATGTTGCAGCATCCAGATGCGAAGCAGCAATGTAAAACAAATTGTTCTGTACAATGTACACCATCGCTGGTACACAGACCTTTAAGGTGTCATACGGCTGCCGCACCACCTGATCCATCAAAACTCCAAAAAACCTGAAACAAAATCATATCATTTCCTCCTAATTCCATCTGAATGATTTCTTATCTGAAGCGCTTTCTGATATCATAAACATTTCAAATTTTTGACTTTAACAAATAAACAGAAAAAGATCATTAAAAAATATCGGCCAACCTCCTAGGCGTCTCCTCTTTGAGAATAATAGCAAGACACACGATGCATTTCATAACTTCCGTGAAGAACACAGCGACTGTTGACAAGAACATGTGCTCAACCTCTCGCGCACGAGAGTAGCTGGAACTCAGAAAATCATTTTGAAAAATACAGGCGGGGGAGGGAGGGCAATAAAAAAGACATTTTTACTCCACATTCAGATGGATTTAATCGCACTCTGCTCATTTCAAACCTAATGGTTCCAACTTAGTATTGAAGAGCACATTTCATTTTATGAGAAAATTTTCATATTGGCACCTACATGGACAGCATCAGAAAAATTTGCCCTGGAAACACGGTGCACTGGTCGAGCTCAATGGGGTCTTCGAAGGATCGTGTATCATAACAACCATAACGAAAAACGACTTTCAAGTGGGCTTGCTTAGTGGGAGCTAATGTCTCTAGGAAACTATCCAACGTTGAATCGATCCACGAAATTATGTAAGAACTTCAGGCTGAAGCACTGGTAGCCCTCCTTGAGCTTGGCGACAATGGCAGCTGACATCATATTCTGAGGACGGTGAGGGCAGTAGAGGGGAGCCCGCGTCCACTTACATTTTCAACTCTATTGCTTTCACATTAATTTTGCTTTAGTCCAAAAAATACGATTATGGCCATCAGCGCAGTTGAGATAGTGAAGAGCGTTAAAACGCACGCATGGTCTAGGAATCAGATTTCACCAGATGAGATCAACCCTCACCCAGGCCAATGAGGTCTTTTACATCTCACTCCAGCTAGCTGTCACCAAAATCGTCTGACGCGCTGAGATGTGCTACATTTTTTCCACATTCACATACAAACTACATTATTCCAGATTCACTTATTCAGCTTCAATAGCAAAGGAAGAAAGATAACGTTCGGGTATGTAGTGAATAGAATATGGACGAGCTAAATTAATGGTAGTAGAATTTCAGGATGAACACAGGGAGCAAAACTTCGGCCAATGCAATAGACCACTTTTGGGGCTTCACAGTCATTGCCATTAAATGTCGTGACGGACAACAAAGCCATCTACCTACATCGTCAGCCAATTGTGATACTTTTTAGTGAAAGTAAAAGCAACTGCAAGGCTACCCGACAACGTACTTGACTTCTCTTCAATTCTCAAAATTAAACGCATGGCGCACACCGAAAGGTCGACTACCGCTCACAAAATTATCACGCAGCCTCTCTTTTCCCTCAAGCAGCAGCCCGCATTTTTAGAAGGAAAAAATACAAAACCTTCTCTCTCTTTTCCTCCCTCTCACTTTGGTTGTGAGAAGCGTGAACATGAACATAAAGAAAAAGGCAGCACTTTTTCTTCGGTGTTTTTCCGGTGAATAAATGTTCACTAACCGGATTAAAAGTGTATGAATACTGTTCTGAAGAGTCAACCATATGAGAATCGCCGTTCGCATTCTATTCGATGACTGCGCTCTCTCGTACGAAACCGTGAGACGAGTAACCTGAAAACATTTCATAATGTTTTCCTTTTACGTATAAATTTCTTAATTCACCGACAGATGATGTTTTTGTTCTGCTTTCATATAGAACCAAAACCCCGTAAACATGAGAACTTCTACTATCTATCTATAGAAACTTATAAAAATTATACAGAAATGTGAACACAAGGAAAATACAGTGAAATACTTATGAAGCTTCCAAGAGGGGATTTTCGACATAGGTGAACAAATAATTGTTTAGCCTTGTGAAAATTAGAACAACAACTGCTACAATGAAATCACTCCCACCAAATCGTTCAATAGGTGCTGTCACAAAACCATTCGAGCATGAAGAAAGAATGCAAAAAAATTTCACTCTAAAGTGCACTTAGCACCAGAGGTGCATGTCTTCGTCCCGGTTATGGGCATTACGTGAGCAACGCGCTGTCGAACTGGACAAATTTCATTCATTTATTTATTGTTACTATTGTACTAATCGTAAGTAAGAAAATAGCATTATGTGAAAATGAGAGACGGTGATCCAATAGCTTCGGGAGTCTTTCAAAATAAATACATTCGATATCGGAGCTGAAATCAAGGGGAACAAAAAGAGTTCGGGCTCATAAAGCCAGCTTCCAGAGCAGTGATGATAGACGATCGAAGGTATCAGATCATGTTTCGACAAAAGCAAAGGGTGGTAATCATGTGAGGTAGAAAAATCTGCTAACACCACAGGCGTGCTAATCAGGAAGTGAAGCCAGTTAGCTAACATAACGCTCTGTCTCTGACTTCATCAATGAAATACAGAATTGAAGTAAAAGAATCACAACCGCAAAGAAGGCATTAAGTGAGATAAAAAGATCTAAATAAATACTAACGCGTCTGGAAATAAATATGCAAAGAAACGAAAGCAAGAGAGGTAGAAAAGACCAGAAATATATCATTTACCATGAACACGACCAGGAAGAAACAATTTAAACAGGGAGAGGCTCTACGAGGAATAACCAAATCACAGCGTTCATAGTATGAGAACCAAAAGAGTGCTTAAGCGCATAGACATAGCTCTTACTCATAAATGAAGATATTGACCCGTATTTTAGTTCCTAAACATTCGCACCCAACCATGTGTCATCCATTGAACTCTCGAGGGTTGCATTGAACAGGAGCTATCTAAAGCGCTCCGAACAAGGAATCCACACACGCGGAGATCGTATCTACCTGAATCCGCCTCAACATAAGGGAAAGTGATTCGCCAGGGCAGGCAAGCATAATCTTGATCTTGAGTTTCAGAAACATGCTGGTTCAATGTGATACGTGGAGGTGCACGAACAAAATCCGAAGAATACCTCAAACCCTATTCAATACATCAGCGCATTTGTTCATCCCTAAATAACACATTCTGACGAGGATAGGTGAAACTCTGTTTTCTTTCGACCATAACAGTAAGAAAAGTGTGAACGCTCAAAGAATCCTTCCAAAGTGCATATCTCAAAAACCGGCGGCGAGGGAACTTAATAGTGAAGTAATCAAGGTATCCTTATCCCTAAATTGAAGTAACCAACGATGGTAACACGGCATCACTTTCCACTTCCTTTGAATAATTCACCCTGCGGCTTGGGGACTTTAGTTGATAGCGCACCGGGAATGCAAAGTGTTTCTACGATGGGTAATTAGAAGAAATTATTATGAGCAAATATGCTCCGGTAACCAATAAATCGAACTCAACTTATTGTTAGAAGTTACTCACAAGTAAAGCGGTGCACAATGACATTGAAGAAGGTGACTATGCCGAAAAATAGAAGAATTGCGAAAATTGCGGTTTTATTTGTTCGCTGGTGAATCTGCATCAGCGCTACTACATCATTTCGCGCATAATCTTAAAGCAGGTCCACAGTTAAGGCTCAGTCCTTACTAGCCAGATAAATTGGCAATGGACACGCCCATAAGAATGAAAGACTGATCTCTAAATCTCGCAACTCACTCTATAGGCCGAATCGTGCTCAACCCCTACAAATCTCTGAAATGTAATTCAGATGTTTGGCGCATCTCGCAAAGGTATGGATCAACGCCGATGCCTTGTTCTTTACCCTTTATTTTTCTAGAAAGTTACCGATAATCGAGGGAGAAGGAAGAGCCTAGCATTGTTGAAAGCGAAATAACCAATTCTTTGATTACATGTCTGATCCTATGTCCCTCACTTATCATTTCAACAAATATTTTCAACAAGTAGGATTGTCAGTACGCGGGTAAATGGCGAATAGCTTGGCACCACTCGAAAGCAATTAACCCAGCTGTGAAAAGAGTTGATCACTTCATTCGAACAGTAGCGTCAGCAAACTTAACACAAATTCCCTCGGAAAAGATTTCTCGTAACCATAGCGAATCAAAATCGTCAAAGTCAAGTCAAATGATGCGGATAAGAGGTGGGTCGCAAATTTTTCTCACTTGAAAATTTTTAAAATCACCACCAGTATAACCTTTTTTTCACTCACTCAGAAAATAACTTAGTAGGCTCACGAAAAAAAAAACAGATTCTCGAAATCAGAAGGTAACTGAGTGAATATGTGAAAATTCCAAAAGCACCCACCGGAACTTTGGATGGAGCATGGTGAAGTAATGGTACATTATCGTCCTCTTTTCCTTTGTTCAAAGCCATGAGAGGGCCGCAGTGCGAGATTCTGAAAAATGCTACCACAGTGGATAGAAAAAAGGTTGTCATACATTGGAAGCTGCGGAAATCATCAAATTTCAAAGTATGTCCTATACAGGTTACCCAGGAAGTGTTACTGAATATAAATTCTGAAATAAACGAGACTGGAAATAGGCGCGTTCACCTGGCTGCCGCGAGTTGGCAATGCAGCAAATACACGAGCTGACACGAAACGATTCAGAGGCATATGAACAAATAAACTCTACATTAGTCAATACAAGCTGCCAGTTGAGACAACGAGCTGCTATTTACTGTATACTAGCAGTATAAAAACGTTTCAACTACCTAAGCGAAGTTAAGACTCGCAAAACTCAACAAAATAATCAAGTCACATCTGGAATTGGACACATGCGCAAGACCCCTAGCATACGTAGAGGACAAACTCGACAGCTATGGAAGGGCTGGTACGCTTATCCAAGAGTTGAATTTCTCTTTTTGGAAACCAAAACTACGGTACCTTCCGAGTTTTTAAGAACTCACTTCTGACCGGAATGTCTACGCACATATCTTGACAATCAGGAGCTAAGCTTAATTCTGAACAGTGATCCATAAGTAGATTTCCACAGCAATATTGGAGATTTAATCTCGGTGTAAAAATACATCGACTTCTACCTCTTCAGCTTTCAATTTGGACAGATCGGCAACCGAGGCTCATGAAACTCATGCGGGAATTTATTGGGATCAGGTTTCGTCCCATCTCTCCTGTCGATATTGCTTTCGAAAATTCAAAAGTGGTGAATTTGATCAATGGTTAAAAAAACCGTTGCCACCAAAAAACATAATAATGATCTGTAAGTCTTGAAAACCGAAAGTCTTGCAAAAGTCAGGAAGAAGTCAAGCAAATGATCATTTCAAAGCATTAATATGCAGTAAAAAAGACTCAAAGGAGAATACTGCACCTATACGAACCGCTTCGGCTGGTGCCATTATGTAAAAACTCTCAAGGAAACCTTTCTCAGATAGGATCCACCACCGGCGTGACCACTGAAGATAGCATCTTCTACAGAACTATAATCGTACTATTGCCACGGTATAACCAAATCCAATAAAAGTAAAAGTTTACTATCCAATAACAGCCAAAGACTCGAATGCTTAAGTGGAGAAAGAAGGCATTTCTCAGATTGCTATTTAGAAGCATGAATGACGTTGACCACCTTATAGATATTCGAATAAAGCCGAGATCGTGAGTGAGATGAGCTCAAAAAAAAGATTTAGGACGGCTAAAGTAAGTGGTATCGCAGAACGAAGACGAAGATTGATCGGATTAGCACCCTTTGGACTGCAAGTCACACAGACAGTCTCCTTAAATCGACGATGGAAAAAAAAAGAAGAAAGATATTTAAAAAGTAAAGGAAAATAGGGCATTAGAAAGAAATCAATACGCAAACACTGAATGGGGCTCCAGACATACTAACCAGTTGAGCGCGCGCGGCGAACGCGCCCGAGATCATTGTGACCGCGAAACCTGTGAACGCACTCGATGTAGCCCGCGAACTGATGCCTGTTGTGGATGTTCGCGGAACCAATGTAAACTCGGCCGGCGGTCGCGCGCCGCGCGAAGGGTTAGGTAGTGGCGGCTCTCGGGAAAGCATGAATGGATATGAAACAGAACAGCGGGTGGTCAAAAGAGTAGGGCCGTGATCGCCGTGTCAGTAGAATGGAGCGAAAGAAGTACTCATGGGCTACTAGCGGAAACGACGGATATTTCTGTCTAAGTCGTCCCAGATATGTAGAAGTGACGGTTGGTTCCATAGAACTCTCTGGACCAGTGAGCGACGCTCTCCTTGAAAGGATATCATGAAGCGTTGGAAGGCGGGCTGGTCCAGATGCGGTACCTAGCAGGGTGGAATAGACTGGTGTCGATGAAATACACCTGACAGGGGGTCCGCATTTTGGCTGGACGCGAATTGAGGGTTCAGCGGGGGCAGGCCGCTCGTAAGTCAGCAAAAGTCGGTCGCTCTCAACGTCACAGCAGGTGCTGCTACAACTGATTTGGCTTCATTCATTACTTTTCACAAGTGTTGTAGTCAGCTAATGCAAATGATCATGCTCACATACCTATCTGCATTAAGGAAAACATGTCAAATGTGCATAGTGATAGTGATTGGGTTAGGTTAGCGTAGTGGACGTATGGCAGTAGGAACGCAAAGGCGACACCATGCAGATCTATAGGAGAACAGACCTTAGGCGGAGCCAGTATCCCTCTAGAAATTGAATTGTACACTGCCTGCAAGAACCTAGCTGGACAAAGGCAATAGCTTATATCGTTTATAGGCGTAAACTTTTCAAAACAGTGGGCTATCTTAATTCGCGTCGCAGGCTTCTCTAT